TTTTCTTCCTTCCTTCCTTTCTTTCTTTTTTTCTTTCTTTCTCTTTTCCTTCCTTCCTTCCTTCCTTCCTTCCTTCCTCCCTCCGTCCCTTCCTTTCTTCCTTCCATCCATCCATCCATCCTAATCTCTGTTGCTGGGACTCGTCCTCCGAGGGGCCCTCCAGGACCAGCCTGGTTTGGTGTGTTAAAGGTGGCTCCCTGCCTGGTGCCAGGGCATGTGCTCAGCTCTGAGCGCTGGGGGGTGGAGCCCTGCATCTATCCTCTTGCTTCTTTCTTGCTGGCCGTTCTTCCTTCCCACAGCTGGCGGTTTTCTGTTTGGCTGGGTGCTGGGGGAAACGGCATTTTGTTTCACCCTGTGTACCTTCCTTTGGCAGGAGAAAGGCCCTGACGGAGGTCAGCAGCGTGTGGCCAGGGGAGCAGCAGGTCGGTCTGGGGCAGCCCTCCTCTGCGCTGGGCAGGGGCTCGATGGCCTTTGAGACTCACAACTGCAGGGAGCACGGCCACCTCTGTTCTTAGGGAGGTCAGTGCTTTGGTGAGTTAACCCAAGGGTCACCTCCAGGCTGTGATGTGGGGTGACTTTGAGGAGGAGCAAAGGATGTTTGGCTCTGGATGCCAACGCCCAGGGCAGTTCCAAGGGCAAGGCTGTCTTTCATCTTACAGCTCAAGTGTGTCCACGCGGAATTGCCGATACTGATGCCAGGGCACCCTGTCCATCCCATTCCCTGCTGGGGCTGATCCCCGAGTGGGTTGCGGGGCACACACGGGCCCCAGCGCTGGTCAGCTCACTGACTGTCTCAAAGTGCCGCCGCTGCCTCGGGCTGAGGTTTTGGGTTTGAGGCATTTCCTTCCCTGGAAGAGCCAGAGCATCTGAACTACGAAGCACAGAGGTTTGCAATCGGAGTGTTATAATCAAGGGAAAGGCCCATGGGGACTGGGATGGACTCATCTCCAGGGTCTCCAGGATGGCAGACCGAAGGTGTGGACGCCTTTCCCAGGACGGCGGTAACGAAGCACCCACTGGGGGCTGGAAACAAAAGAAACTTATTCTTTTCCAGTTCCGAAGGCTGGAGGTCCAGAATCAAGGTGTCGCAGGGCCAGGTCCCCTCAGAGGCTCTAGGAGAGGCCCCTTCCTGCCTCTTCCAGCTGCTGGTGGCCCTGGCATCCTCAGCGTGTGGCGGACGGTCCAGTCTCTGTCCTGTGGTCACAGGGCCGCTCCCTGCATGCCTGTGTCTCCTTGTCTGTGGGCTTCACCTCCCCTCGTTTCCTGGTTGAGGATGGTGGTGATTAGATTTCAGGCCCGCAGGCTAATCCAGGACCATCTCCCCGTGGAGATCCTTATCTCGGCCCCAAAGGCAAAGACTCTTCTCATGACATTCGCAGGTGGCAGGCGTCAGGACCCCACGTCTTTGGGGCCACGACTCAGCACGCTGCGCGTCCGCCTCAGCTAGCCCACGGCCACAGCCCTCCTTTCCTGCCGCCCGGAAGGGGCGAGCTCGAGCCTGGGGTGGGGGGGCTCCGGTCATGGCGACGGGGCCAGCTCTCCCCCGTGTGAGGCGCCAGCGCATTCAGAGGCCGGCTTGGGGCTGAGCCTCCCAATCCAGCTTCTCCCCCCCTTCAGCCTGGGAAGTGGGGTGTAGCCTCGGGGAGCCCCCACCTGAGTCCGTGCCTGGTCTCCCCACCGCAGCGAGTCTGGGGCGGCCCCATCTTCATCTGTCTGTGGCTGGCAGGACCCTGGCTCACAGTCAGTAGCCCCTCTGTCTGGGCCGTCCTCCCCCACCGAGGACCTGGCTAAAGAGGTCACCCCGTTGTCCTCCCAGCATCCCAGTGTCCTCTGCCCTGGGCTCAGTCTTGTCTGGCCTGGAGGCAGCCACTGGGAGGCCGATGGGTTCTTGGTGGGAACCAGCTGGCTGATGAGAGAATTAGGCTGGAGGAGGGGATTCCTGGAGGGCCGTGTCCTGCCCCATTCCTGACCCTGGTCCTGGCACTATGACCGGCCAAGCTACGGACATGAACTGCACGTTCTTGCAGACAGTGTGTGTGTGTGTGTGTGTGTGTGTGTGTGTGTGTGTGTGTGTGTGTGTGTGTGTGTGTGTGTAGGGGTCACTGTCTGCCCAGGGTGGACAGGACAGAGCAACCCGGAGGCAGACAGATGGGTCCCCTGCTGACCCACCCGGGTCTGAGCTCAGGGTGGCAGGGTCTCCAAACAGAAGCCACACCCGAGGGTCTGTGTACACCTGGAGTTGACACCGAGCGCAGTTGTACTCAGCTCACTTTGACATCAAGGGGCCTGGTCACCTGTAGGGACTGCAGGCTGCAGACGCTCCAGGACGTGGGCGGAGGGTGAGGCTCCCCATTTCGTCTGCCGCTGGCTTCGCCGTCCTTTCTGGAGCTCAGGTCCGCGGCCAGACTGAAGGTGTACGTCCTGCAGGAGGAGAAGGGGATGCCATGTGGGGCAGACACGGGGAAGCCCCGGTCAGCACGTGCTTGGGAGGGTACAGGAAGCGGTGGGCGGGTTAGGGCATCACACCCCGCTATGGGCTGAACTGCGTGCCCTTGAAGTTTACAGTCCTGACCCCCAGGACCTCCAAAGGTGCCCCTGCGTGGAGGTGGGGCCTTTAAAGAGCTGATTCAAGTAAAAAGAGGCCGCTAGGGTGGGTGCTGATTCAATCTGGCTGGTGTCCTTATGAGAAGGGCGGTCAGGACACCGACTCGCACAGAGGCACGACCGTGTGAGGACTCGGAGGAGCGGCATCCGCGCGCCAAGGAGAGGCCTCAGGGGAAGCAGCCCCATCTTGGATGTCCAGCCCCAGGACTGTGAAAGAATGAGCTCTGTCACTTAAGCCGCCTGCCTATGGTGTCTTGTTAGGGACCGGAGCAAACCAGCACATCACCCTCTTCAGGCCCATCTTCTGAAACAGCTAAAGGCGTGAAGGTGGCTGTGGCTGGGAGACGGGGACAGGCGAGCAGAGCAGGCACGTTCTGCACCGTGGGAACGCCCCGGAAAGGCCCAGACTAGTGGGCGGGTGGGCGCAGCCGAGAGAAATTTCTCCTTGTCCGGTGGATCAGGAAAGGTGCCCCTGGGGTGGGCAGGTGTTCAGGAGCTCTGGGGATGGCTGAGGGCAAAGGTCACAGCATACCAGCGCCGTGAGAACTCTACAAAGTGAGTGGGGGACGCCGAGGGGAGGGATGAGGGAGGGGCCGGAGGAGGAGCGTGAGTAAGGAAGGAGCCCGTGGTCACGGAAATCCTCCGAGGGCAAGAAATGACTGGGCGCCCCAGGGAAGACCCATGTTATAAAGGGAAAGGTCATCTTCATCAACTCGATCCAGAAACAATCCACAACCACTTCTGGTTCCCTTTCCTGCGGGATCCGAACACCCGTGCTGGTGGTCGCAAAGGAGCGCCACTGCAGCTGTCCTGACAGTGCGGGCAGCCTGCTGTATGTAGCATGCGGGCTGGGTTCAAACCAGGCTGATTAAAATAAAAACATACAATCAGAGCAGAGTGACGGGCAGGAGCTGGAGAGGGAGATGGGAAAGAGAGCTTGTGCTTGGTTTTGCTTTGAGGATGACAGCATGTTTGTTTGCGGGTGGCCACCCTTGGGGAAGGTCTTGGGACGGCAGATGATGCTGGCACAGTGCTCTGGGGGAGTGGGCACCAGAAGCCCAGGAGGGATGGGATTTGGTAAGTTGGCCAGGAGTTTGGACCGAGCATCATAGTCTAATGGGCGGGAGACGGGCAGGTGGGCCCAGAGGCCGCAGGTGGCAAGAGCTGGTGGGCGCTCTCCTGACGCCCACCTGTCACGGTGCCTGGAGTGTAGACGGCAGCGGGTCAGACACAAAGCAACCGGCCAGCAGAGCGTCCAGGGATGCCTGGGCCTTTGATGCTAGTGGAAGAGGAGGCAGGTAATCTGCTCACCTGAGTCACTGGTAAGGGAACTTCATCTTAATTACTATTTTCTGAAAAGCCTTGTTTCCATCTTGCTCTTTATTTTATTTATTATTATTATTATTTTTTTAAATTGAATTATAGTCAGTTACAATGTGTCGGTCTCTGGTGCACAGCACAATGTCTCAGTCATACATATACATACATGTATTTGTTTTCATTAAAGGTTATTACAAGATATTGAATATAGTTCCCTGTGCTGTACAGAAGAAACTTGTTTTTATCTATTTTTATATATAGTGGTGAACCTTTACAAATCTCAAACTCCCAAATTTATTCCTTCTCACCCCCTTTCCCCCAGTAACCATAAGATTGTCTATGTCTGTGAGTCTGTTTCTGTTTTGTAGATGAGTTCATTAGTGTCTTCTTTTTTCTTTTTTTTAGATTCACAAATGAGAGATATCATATGGTATTTTTCTTTCTCTTTCTGGCTGACTTCACTTAGAATGATGATCTCCAGGTCCATCCATGTTTCTGCAAATGGCATTATTTTATTCTTCCTTATGGCTGAGTAGTATTCCATTGTATAAATAAACTGCAGCTTCTTTACCCAGTCATCTGGTGATGGACATTTCAGTTGTTTCCATGTCTTGGCTGTTGTCAATAGTGCTGCTGTGAACATTGAGGGGCACGTATCTTTTCAAACTGGAGTTCCCTCCAGACATATGCCCAGGAGTGGGATTGCTGGATCATATGATAAGTCTGTTTTTAGTTTTTTGAGGAATCTCCGTACTGTTTACCATGATGGCTGCACCAAACTACATTCCCACCAACAGTGTAGGAGGGTTCCCTTTTCTCCATCTTGCTCATAAGTTGTAATATATTTATGATTTTTAACCTACAGAAGTCTTAAATTTTAAGCATTTAATCCTTATTAATGACAGGTCTGTTAAGTTTCACTCTAAGATGTGCCCACATGCTTCTCTGCTTTCAAAGCTCTCCCCAGTCCAGAATTCAGACATACTGTCATTTAAACTGCCTTCTATTTTGAAATGATTTTCTTTCTCTCTCGAGTTCTCTTCTCTGTCAGGAGCTGACTTCAGTGCATGCTGTGAGGTCACGTAGGGCACCATTTACTGTGAACCCATTTACGCTCCTGTCTCTGAGGCGCCCAGCAGACACAACCTCCCAGTACGCCGGGTCTCTCCCCCTGCCATCCACCTGTTCCCCGGAGCTGCCTTTTCCCTTTCCTTCCAGGCGGTACCATATCACATGCGGACGGCATGTTTTTACTATCTGGCAGGGTAGGTCTCTCCTCTCCTCCCCTTTACTGTTCAAAGTGTTCTCAACTCTCCTCTCCTGTTTACTCTCCCAGATACACTTTTCAATCATTCAGTGAAGGCCCAACAAATGATCCCCTTGGGACTGTCCCTCGAATGTCACGAAACCTGGAAATGAGTGAGAGGATTGATATTCTCCATCATGAACGTGGTGTTTCTACTCACTCAGCCCATCTGCTAATGTCTGCCTTTCTCGCAGAGGGGCCCCAAGTCCCAGATTCCCACAAAGCTGACGGCAGTCCAGGCGTCCCTCCGGAGACCCCGCAAGGTCCCGCCCTGGGAGGGGCATCGTTGCTCCCGAGGCTCAGCGGCCCTGGGGCTCAGGCCACCTGCCTGTCACCCCGCAGCCGCCCGGCCCGCCCTCCGCGCCTGCGGTGGTTGGACGTTGGCAACGCGTTTCCGAAACCGGCTGCAAGCGGTGCCTTCCCTTCGCCTGCTGCTTCCTCTGCGGCCTTGAGCTCCTTTTGGCGGGACGGCAGCATTCAGGGCGGACGGGTCTACTGGGCTCGCGTGCCCCCCCCCCCCCGGGGCCGCTGTCAGCGCGCACAACCCGGGGGCTCCCGCCCCCACCGGCCGACACTCGGGCCGCCGCCCCCCGCGCGGCGGCTTCCTCTTCCCGGAGGCGGGCGGCCGCGCACCCCCGCTCGGCCGCGGTGCAGGTGGCACGGGTCTTTTTTATAAATAACATCTGTGCAGTTTACAGTCAAACAGAGAAAACTGGAATCTTTTTTTCTGAGGGCGAGGCTTTC